GGATGTCAGTTTCTATCTCAGACCAGTGAGGGAGACGCTGGAGGAGACCCATGACATGGGCGTTCGCAGGAGCTCCAGGGTTATCGTGAGCCTCCACGTGGAGAACCATTGCACCTGACCCCTCCTGTGTCTTTGGTGCCCAGAGTCCCGTGATGTCATGCTGTGCTGCCTATGTGGGGACACAGGTATTTAATATTCCTGAGCAGATATAGTTTTAATAATTTTAATAACAATAACAACAGTGGTTCTCTTTTCTCCAGTTGTATGTTCTACCAAACTCCAGCAAATTCTGCCTCATTTATGTCTAGACAAACTGGCATTTTGGAGACCGAAGCACTTCATCTTGGGCTGTCTTAAAGGGAAAAGTTAATATTATACCTTAGTTTTTTAAAAAAATTAATGCAGGTCAAAGTTAATTTGCCCTCTAGAGTTTTTGACCACTTTGCTAAAAATCATTTCAACTTTCAAATATTCTTGTCAGGAGCAGGGAATCAAAGACTCATTAAGTTAGCTGACCTGTTTCACTTAAATCTCGGCAAATAATTAACCATGGCTTTCCATCTAAAGGCTGCTGCTCTTTAATCGACAGTAGTTGCTGATTTTCTCTTTGTCCGAACTGCATCCTTGTTTGTTGGAGAGGACAAGAGATAAGGTTGGTGCAAAATGACCATCCTGCCTGATAAAACAAGACATAGGATCTTTGGACAACTCAGCCCCTTTGTCTAGGCAGGAGAATCAAAATACTTTGAGGGAAAATATTCAAAGTGGACAAAATGCTCATTGTGTCTGGTGAATAGCGGGGACTCCCACTTGTTAAACATTTGATTGTAATAAAAAGAAAAACTGGTCCCTGTTTGGCTGATTAGACTCCAAAAGAAAGGATTCCCCTCGTAGCGACTGCCCTGAGACCATCTCCGGAAGGAAAGGCCTAAATTCAATGTGGTCACATCGCTCAGAAAGGCAATGCTTAGGGTTTAATGCTCTGCACTTGTCTTGAAATTTTTAACAGTTTTATCCTTGGATTTGTGTTTAAGGGAAGTTCAATGGGACAACGAAGCATGTGCAGAGGGCTTGCAGCCTCGGCTCACACCCGGTCCATAGTCACACATCCCTCCTCCTGCTGCCTCCTTGGGATGGGATCTGAGCCAGACCAGTTTGCCCTCCCCAGGCTACTGCATGGGTAGTGACAAGGTTAGGTTCTATCATCACTCCACATCCCTGGCTGGACCTGGATACGGACAAGAAGAGTGTCAGGCTCCGGCATGTACTCTGTAGCATTTCAGGACAGGGCAAGAAACTGGCTGTCCCTGCCTTAGGCTGGCAGTGCCATGGTGTGTTTTATAGGTGACTTGGTGGGAAATCTCTCTCATATCAGAGACTGAGCATGTCCCAGTGCGGAGATGGTAATCCCTTGGGACTGTCAGCCATGGGAAGGGGAGGTTGGTTTCCCTGTCCCTGCTGAGGGTCTATATTTTCATTTTACACTGGCTCTACAAGTCATGTAGTTGACCTTGCCTGACCTATTGGCCAACAGACAGCTCTGGGTTCCATAGGGCTATGCGAGGCCTGGGAAGAGCTGTTGAAGTTCTGTGTCCTTCTGTGTCTACTCTCCTGGAACAGTAAAAACTCCATCTGCCTCTTCAAGTCTTTTCTCTACTGTTAAACATCAAAATACACATATATCTTACATTAACTGTGTGACATGAGGCGAATTACTTCACTTTTCTGGGCCTTAATATGTTCTTCTGTCTTATAGAAATAATACTACTATTGTCATGGACATGAAATGAGCAAAGATATGTAAATACTTGGCACAGTGCTGGGCACATAGATGTTTGGTAAATTTTAGTTCTATTATTATTATGATCATCATTATTATTTGCTATGGACCCTGAAAGCAGTTACAAAAGTATTTTGATTAATACTTTGAAGGCTACATCTTCTAACAGACTTGTTTGGGATTCTGGTCTGCAGACTTCTTAGGGTTTCTCAAATTCACTAGACATTCTTAAGAGGGGAAAAATCTCAGGTAAAGGAAAATCATATAGCGAGAAGGAGTCCTGGCTTCATCATCATAAGAGGCACAAGTGCCACACCCACTGTCTGACTGTTGAGGTCTCAGTGAATAAAGGAGGGAGGACACCAGGTAACAGCATGTCACTTTGTGTTCTGCTGGTGAGCTGATGCAGGAGACTGCCTCGGTGTGGACATCAGCGTGCATAATGGGGTGATTACAAGCCACATATCTCTGGCCAGTGATGAGCTGGTGTCCACAGCGGCAGCTTCCGGACAGTGACTGTCACTAATGCCAACTTATGCAGCTTCGTACTCCTGTGGAAATATTTTAAGAAATCTTTGGATTCCCACGAATAAAGGAGGCTGCTTCTGCACCATCACTGTGGGTTTCATAAATACATTGAGCTCTAGCTGTATACCAGGTGGTTTTATATTCTCGCTAAGCTTCATAAACATCCCATAAGGCAACCGTGCCTGCTTTATAGATGAGAAATCTTGAGGCTCATCTATGTTAACTGGTTTAATCAAGACTTTCCAGCTAGTCAGTAAGAGAGAGTGAATTCTATCTAACTTCAAGATTATGCATTTATTTTAATTGATCGCAAAGCCTCTTTTATAACTATAGTATGTGAACTCTTAGTAGAAGCAATCACTTAACTTTAACACTAGGCACTGTTCTAAGCACTTAATGTATATTGATTCATTTAATCCTTGCTACAGCCCTATAAAGTAGAAATTACTACTCCCATTTTGCAGACGAGAAAACCAATGCACTGGAAAGTTAAGTAAACTGGACGAAGTCACATAGCTGGAAAGTGACAGGCCAGGCTATAAACTCAACCACTAGGAGGTGAAGGAGTCAGAACTCCTGGTATTATTTTAAAGGTCAACTGAAAGAGTGTAATTTGACTTTCTAAAATAACATCCTTCAAATATATATTTTTTAAACTTTCAGAGCCTGAAGCAAATAATAACAATGATCATAAAAATAGCAGTTAAAATTAAATTTATCTTTATTATGTGCCTGGCACTGTGCCAAAGAATTTATATATGCCAACTCATTTACTACTTCGAACAGCAGTATTATTATTCCTAGATTATAGAATAAATTCCTGAGGTCCAGAGCTTTTAACTTTCCCCATGTTGCACAGCAAATATATAATGGTTCTGCGGAAAACTAAAGACTGTCTGCATCCAGAACCCATATTCTTCACTTTCAAACCTCATTGTTTTAGAATTTTCAGTGGTGGGAAATTTTAGCCTCTGACCATGTACATAATTTTTAAAAACTAGCAGAAGTCATTTGTGACTACGCCCTAAGTTTTTTGAATTGCAGGCACCTAAGATTCATTTTTGGTTAAAAGCATTATTTGATGAAAATAGAAGTTATTTTTCTTTTGTGACCTACAAATCATCCAAAATCAGTCTCCAAAACATGTTCTGGTCACCGGTGGCATCATGGTAATTAGAGTTTTCCCGAGTGATCACTATGGAGGGACACTCTTACTTATGAGCAAATTCATGCTCAGTATCGGACAGATGTTGCATGTCAACAATGAAAATAATGACCAGAAGCTGACCATGTGCCTCCGAGCTTGGATCATGGTGCGTGCAGGCACCATTCAAGCCCCCTGTGAAGTCACTGGGTGGACCACTCTACAGTGATTATTGCCTACTAAGCTACTTCCTCTTCTGCAGTACTTTTCTTATAGGGAGAATGTGCATGACTTCTAATTAATGCATGATTTCAGAGGCCCCACACTGTACATGGTTCAATCCACACTTGAATGGGGACTGTGCTGAGCTGGGGACCCTTAATGACCTTGTGTGGGCGAACACATCCCTTAAGTGGGAGTGGAAGTGACCGTCTCTGTTCCCCTGGTTCTGGGGAAAGACTGACCCTTTCTTTTCCCAGGCCTTGCTGGGAGTCGCACACAGCATCCTATTTTTTCCAATATATTGTTCAAATTTAGTTTTAATCCAATAGATAGCTCAGAATTAATTTTCTTAGGGAAGAACTGTGAGACTAGCTTAGTCAGCTCTTCCTGGTGAAGAAAATGCTGCAGTGGGAGGTGGGGGGTGGCAGATGCGAGACGGGAGGGGAGAGAAAAAAGACAGGAGAGGGGCTCTGTTGCACATTTCCAGACTGAAACTGGTGTGAAGCGACTTCTCTGGAATTTGGCAGTGTGCTTTTGTCAGCAAGACTTGTTCTCCAGGCTCGGAAACCAGGCCTGAGAACAGCCACCTTCGACTGCTCCCCCTCCGTGACTCTCTTTCAATAGTCAGAAGCAAGCTTGTTGGAATATAGCATTTCTAGAATTTCCAAAAACACATGGTATATTTTTCTCCTGGCAAAATCTGACAGCCAAGGAGGGAGAGGTCCATGATGAAAGCTGAAATTTAGAAGTGACAATTCTCAGAAGTAAAATGTGTTTATTTCCTAAAGCCTCCTTTCCAAAGAAAAATGCTTTTCATATGGAGCACTTCCATTGAGGACATTATTGAACACAGCTGCTTGGAGGAAAAGCACTTAATTTGATCGAACAGAGAAGAAAATAGTCTGGCAGGATCATTTCTACTTTGAATTGAGAGAAACGCTAGTTACCAATAGAACAAAAGAGAAGTTTAAAGGTAAGATTTTTGTTTTAACCAAAAGAGTTAGAAAAACATGTCTTAATAGATGAGACCCACAGAGTAACATAATAAATAGTGGATAGAAAACTACTTGTTATTATTAATAAAGACAATAGTCGTGTATCTGATCTCATACTAATTCTTTTAAAAATCCTTAGAGGAAGGTTTGTTTGCCTCATTTTCTAGAGAAAGAGCAGAGAGACACGAGGGCTGAGTGTTTAGAGCAGGTTATCCAGCCAGGAAATGGCAGAGTTGGGATTAGGTCCAAGGACGAAATCTCCAGCTCTTCCCCATTGCTCGGCAGGACTTGAAATGGAATTTGGAAAGTGACTGAATGCTCTTCTGATTACCATGGCTTTGTTGGAATGGCCGCCTCCCTGGAACTCAATGGTCCCCAAAGCATCCGTGGGGCTGAGCTGAGTGTGCTTGCTGATGGACCACTTCTCCGACTGGATGTCATTTCGGGAGAGGCGACTCTCATTTTTCTCATTCTGAAGAACGGAGATACTGGGAGTGAGGCCGACATGCTGGCCTATGAGACGCCCGCAGCAGCACCTGTAACAGAAGAGGTCGAGGTGAACCCATTGTACTAGCCACTATGGTAGTACACGTAAGGCTGGACAATCTACAGTCTCTAGGGGGGAACTCAGGAGTCACCTGATTGATGTACCTTTTCTTTCGACCCCTCCTCATTTCCTGTAGCTGAGTCAGCTGTAACATCCTCCCGCCCTTCTCTACCCAGCCCTTTCACACCTGCCATTACGGTTCAGGGTTGGAATCTGTGAACAAAACCTCTGTAGATTTTTCCACTTCTTACTCCTCCCATCTATCAACTCTTTCAGGAAGGACACTGACCATCTTTAAGGGAAGAATTTAACATGCACATTTAAATGAGGAATCTCACTCATACGTTAGTCACAACCTAACTTGTCTTTCCCAAACTGACATTTACTGTCAAATATCCAATTCAGAGGGAAAAACCTGCAGCTCAAGTGTTCCTAAAGAAACAATGAAAGAATTATTCACAAGATAGCTGAACACAAAATTCTCTCCTTACTCCATGAATACGTCCTTCAGAGTTGACTATCACTGCTGCTATGATTATTAGTAATAATACTGATACACAGTTACCATTTATTAAATGCTAACAATGTGGCATTCATTTTATGAGCATAACATTGTAGTTCTGAAGGTTAGGTGATTTGCTCAAGGTTACAAAGTCTATATGACTCTATAGTGTATATTTTAAACTGTTTTATTACATTGCCTTTCCAAAAAGGCACTTCCAGACATTGATATGTTACTTTATTCCAAATATTTCCTTCCTTATAGTCTGTTGATCTTCAAAAAGGTAAGCAGGATACTAAAAATGTGCTTGGATAGGAATCGGAAGGTCTGCAGTCTAATTAGTAATCTGTCAAAAGTCATTTATTTAAAAATATCTTCTTTACTACAGCAAAGCATGTTGGTACAAACTAAACATTTTAATGCAATGCTTAAAAGGGAAAACAATTACCATATTAAAAAAATATGTAAACCATTCTTAGATTCAGTGATTCATTTCCTACCCAATGGTACATCTGTTATTCTGTATAGATTTTTAGAGAATTAACTACAGAGATGCATATTAGGTGGTGTGAATATATAAAATTGCTTCAAAGATGTCCAGAAACAATAAAAATTTATCTCTAATTTCACATCGGTCTACATGTAATGAATAGTGATTATTACTGTAGTTGTGTTCCCATATTGCTGCTTCATGTTCTTGGGACATGACAAAGAAGGCAAGATTACCTATGGGGGTCTTTGGTGCTGGGGATGATGTGAACGCATTCTCTTTTATAAAATGCTCTTTCTATCCAGGATTTCTGAGCCTAGAAAACAAAAGAAGGGTAAAGGTGAATATAACCTTGAAGTAATCAAAATTTCAGGATCACATGATAGACTAGTATCTCATAAATTGAGTTGAAATTGTGGTTATGCACACAAACACTGCAGACAACAAAGCCAGTCACTCCCAAAACACGGTGATTCGGTTCTTCAACATCATAATATTGAGAGGTAGAGGAAATAATCATAATATAAAAAAAAGTTAGTGATAGAAATTTATACAAATTCATGATTTTTGAAGGACAGAAAACAGTGCTCTTTACAGAGAAAATGAAAAATATTGGTCAGTATTTTTGTAACCCTACAAACAACAAGTGTCCAGTTGCAGGAAGACACACAGTTGACCCTTAAACAGCACAGATTTGAACTGTGTGGGTCCACTGACATGTGGTTTTTTTCAGAAAATACTGTAAATGTGTTTTCTTTTCCTTATGATTTTCTTAGTAACATTTCCTTTTCTTTAGCTTACTTTATTGTAAGGATACAGTATGTAATACATATAACAAACAACATATGTGTTAATCAACTATTTATGTTATTGGAAAGGCGTTCAGTCCACAGTAGGCTATTATTAGGTAAGATTTGGGGGAGTCAAGAGTTATACTCAGATTTTTGACTGTGGGGGAAGTTGGCTTCTTTACACCTTACTTTGTTCAAGGGTCAACCATATACGGAAGTATAAAGTTTCCATGGCTGACACTTAGATTTTCCTTGTAGAAGGAAAGAAATATGGTGTGGGAATTATATAACTTAAGAGCTTTAATCCATCACCATGCTTTTTCTAAAACCTAAGTTACCGGTGCTTAAATACAGAGAGGAAAAAGGACATGGAAACATAAGGATGATAAATGTCTTCATCACATGCCAAAATTTAGCAGGCAATGCCTCTGGAAGGAACTGAGACAGCACATTTTCCCGCATCCCATGTGCGGGTAAGCACGGGAAATACAGCTTAGGTGGGCATCGTTGGAACTGTCCACCCAGAAGTCTGGCCACTAACATTGGGCTCCCGGAAAGACAAAGGTAGTTCCGGAAAACTGTACCATCTTTGTTTCAAAGCAGGGTGTCCACCTGCATCCTTTTACCCCTTTCTTTACCAGCACTTGAAATGGTGGAGGACTCTCTTATGGAATCCAATAAGCTATGCAAAAGATTCCTTTTCTAAGTGTTTAAGAAGAAAGTTGCTATAGCAACTTAAAATGTTATTTCTGTCTGATGTCATCTTCTACCTAACCCAGCACCAGGATGAAATTCATCCTCTTAAAATACACAGGGCCAAAGCGCAGCCAAGCTGTTTACCTGGCCTGTCTCAGTGACCCGTGCTCACTGCCACAAGCCTCCAGTTACTGGCTATGATTGATAGTGGCTCTGCCAAGGACCCAAATGTTGTGCTAAGGTTGCCCTCCACCCTTTACTTGTGCATCTCCCTCCTCTCTCAGAACAGAGTTTCCACGCACACGTGGCACTGAAGGCAGTAGACCACCCATGACACACACAGTTTAAAGTAACAGCACGGGGATGCGTGAGAGATATGAAGAACTGCATCCTGTTTCAGTCACGGTCAGAGTCGGGTCACGTAATTTCTGACTGTTTTGCACCGTCCACACAGAAAGCAGCACCCATCTTGCCTGAGCAATCCTTGGGTCCAGGTGGCCCTCTGTACCCTCACATCACAAAGGTAACATTTGCAGTTCTGTTTGTCAGCTGGGCATAAAAATCGCCCCAGTGTCTAGTCTCAAGGATTTTTCTTTTCAAATATGTTGGAAAAGCTAGTGGCTACATCTCTGCAACAGAAATGAGCTTAGCAGTGTAGATGATAACCAGTCTTTATCTCTCTAAAAAGCCTGTAAGTTAAACTATTCATAGGCTGTGATTTTTCCTAGACACTGAATACTTTCATTGATAAGATCTGTTGGCAGAAAGATGGTAAAAATATTCCTCACTGGACATTTGAAACCAACTTTCTCTGCACCTTGGGGAGCAGAAAAGAGTGCACTTTCCTTTTTTCTTTGTGGTCCACTTTGGCTTGGATTCAAAAGGATTTTTGGGGGAGCCCCTGGGAATTTCAGGGGATGCTGATCAATAATCTCCCAGAGAAAGAGGAAGGGCACAATCACAGGTGGAGCATGAGGTTTGCAGGTAGAAAAAATGGTGTGAGTGGGACGCAGCTATGTGGACCAAGTCATGTAATTTCTCTGTTCCTCAGTTTTCTTCATCTATAAAATGGGCACAACAATAATGCTTGAGACACAGAGTTGTTATCATTATTATTTGGGAGCTGTGTTTTCACTTCAAGAAGTTGGACCTGTCCTGGGTAGGTTCTGGTGCTATAAAGCTCGGATGATGTTTCAGGCATGAGTACTTATGAAATTGCTGTAGCAGACCGACCTAGATTGATCTCACTCTGCATAGGGGATAATACGCTCTCAGGAGGCCGGGCTGGCCACTAACAAGGTATGTAGAAAAGCTATTTAATTTCCCTTCTCTATAACATGAGGATAATCGCAGCTATTTTGGAGAGTTGTAGCAATCAAAGAAGATGATTCAGGGAAAGCACCTGGCACTCAGTAGGACCTCAGCAGGCAGTAACAATGCCTAACATTTATTAAGGGCTCATTATGCACCAGGATTGTGTCATACATGCATTATCTGCTTGGAGCCTCATAAGAACACTGTGAGGGAAGAATTACTATTGTATCCAGTCTACCAATGAAGAAACTGAGTCAGATGCCACAAGTCTTGAGCTGTCTGACTGCAGAGTTCACACTCTTACCCACTCTGCTAAACTGCCTCCCAAATTGAATATTCTTGATATTAAATACACTTAATCTTGGCAGTGCCATCTGGGCATGCCTGGAAGTGCCTTGGTATTCGAAGAGAGTTGGGCTTGTAGGGGCATGTGTTAGAGCCAGTTCGTACTTGTATCTTTCCTCTTCTCATTTCACCTTTCCAGTCCCCCCCAGCGGAGCAATGGACGCTGCACTATCAGTTCCTCTCTCCTCGAGGTCAAGGATTGGGGTGGGACATTAGGAAGCCATTAGATTATGAGAAAGAAGTAAACAGAGCGGGGGAAGTCTTTATAACAACTACAACGAAGAACTGCTTTACTATAGGACTCCCCACTGGAGACTCTGGGAGACCATGGCATAGACTAGATTTTTCAAGGGCACCTTCATTATGTCTCTCTCTCAGGGATCCCCGTTTCAACTTGAAAAGCCCTGGAGGTTGTACTCAGATGCTGTCTAGTAAGAACTGCTACACATAGATTGCCAACTTCTTTGTTAGTCTTTAATTATCAAGTGATTTGACTTGTGGGCAGTTTAGCAACTTAATTACCTTCAAAAAGGTGACAAGGTACCTGAGCGGTAGCAAAGGGATTGAGAATTACTTCCTTTTTCTTCTTATTAGCAGATTAACCATTTCCCTTGCAGTCACAGAAAATTGGGAGGAGGGGGGAAAAAAGTAATTTAAAAAGAATCTTTTCATCATTCATAATTGAATTGGATTCTCTCTTTTCTGAGAAAAGTATAATACATAACAGGAAGAATGCACGTATAACACATGAATTAGAAATTTTACAAAATATCTTGCCTAAATTACTATGCTGTATCACGGGCTTCGCTTTACTGTGCTTTTATTCTGCTCTTCAGTGTGGACAGATAGCAGCCTTTTAGAATTATTTTTTAGAAAGGGCATCTTTGAAGTATAACCATGGTTTAATTTGTTCTCTAAACGAATTCCCTTCTCATTTGTTCAAAGTCTTTGAACTACTCTGTCAGGCTTCATACTTGGCTTCCACATTCAACTGAGTTAGCTCAGCACGGCTATCCTGGTGGTCAGAAAGCATGGAATAGTTTGACACGCCGTGTTTCTAGCTGACCCTATATAATGCAAAACTTCAATGGACAAGTGTCCCGAAACCTCTTCTTAAATGTACTTGGGAAGTCTCACGTACTCTTGCCTTGGAAATCACTATGTACATTCTTTTGTAAAGTTAGAATGGTCACATTGTCATGACCGAGTCTGGGAAGGGCTTTTTCTTTCTTGTCTCTCTGCATTATCGGTCATGTGTGATACGTAAAAGGAAAAGTGTTTTCCAACGGCTAATGATTAAAGGACATCTTATTCAAAACCCAAATGGGGACATTCACTTTTTGAACAAAGTATAATGATTACCCTCAAAGAATAAAGTAATTACAAAGTTTGAAAGTCTAAGGTACAGTCAATAAAGCATCAAAATGATAGAAATAAACAAAAAGCTGTAAATACTGCCTTCAAAAAACAAAAAAAAATTAATTTGTTTCATTTAAGAGGTTTCAACTCTTTCACAAAGCTCTGCTACAAATATTAGTCCCCCAAACTACTTCTGACTCTTTTGACTACCCACTCCACACTAGCTAGAGAATCAATAACTTTTCTGGGCAGGGATAGTTCACAAGTGCACACAGAGTATGCATTAAATCAGGAATTTTCAGAGAGTGCCTTTGTAGTCCACCCTTTAGCAGGGCGACTTTAACAGAAGAACAACAACCCAGCCCAGTGATTGTAAGATTGAAAAAGGAGTCCACTAACTTTATAGAAATAAATTACGAGCAAAATTTCACCAAGTTCTTCATTTTGAGACTCTCAGGTTTTAAATGTATACTTTGTCCTAATCAGGACAAAATACCAAAGACCCAAAGGTACTGAATCCTATTTCATTGTTGCCTCTTGCTTTCCCTCAACATCTCCCCGGGCATTCCTTGGGTCTTCCTCTAGGCCCCCAGACGCAGTATTGGGAAATGGGACAATAGAAAAGTGAGCTGAAATCATTTTACCTGAGCACTGACTCTGGGTGGTGGCAAAGGCAGTCCCACGAGCAGCTCCTGTTGCTTTCATTTTGCTGCTTCTGGGGCTGGTCATCCCGTTAATAATGCTCTTATGACCGCCCACTGGAAAAAAAGTCACTTGCTCGGCTCTTCCCCCAAGAGACGTTTCAAGTCAGCAATGAACTTGGGCAGATTAGCCGCCTGGAATGTGCTGCTCTGGGATTAGCCTCAGTAAGAATCCCATGGACATTCCCTCGCGGCCTCCAACACGGCTTGATTTAAACATCTAATCTGACGCCAGGAGAAAAACAAATCCCGGGAGAGATCGGATTTAACTGGCACAAGTCCTGACAGGCTCTCCCCCCTTCGCTTTTTCCATTTTCAGAGAGCAGCCTTGTGAGAGTGTGATAAGGTGTTCTGAGTTCTGAAAAGTTCAACTTTGGAAAGCAAACCCCGCTGAAGGAACAGTGTATCGATGCTCCGAGTGGGCTGAACACACAAGCCGCATTGTTCGTTCCTCCCCGAAGAGCCGACCGATAGCATTTCTTTAAAGAGGAACGGCTAAGGACTGAGCCTTTCCAAAGAGTAGCTGGATCCCTGAACAGGAGCCCAAGTAGAAGAAAGTTTGAGTTTGCCAGTGACCTTCTACAACTCCTAAAATGTCAATAAATAATAAAACGTGTCTGACCCCGCAGCCTGTCTCCCACGGTGGCAGAGGTGTGGTTCGAACCCTGCACTCCCTCGCTCCCTGTTATAAAAAGACGCGCTGTGACCGCACAGCACACGGATGCAGTGCCACGGGATGTGTGTCCCTGGGCTCACACAAAAAGGGCTCTTTCAAATATCATCCAAGAGTGCATTTTTCATATAATAGTTCTCAACTAAAGTGAACAAATTTGGGGAGAAAAAAACTCTAATTTCCACAAGGCAAAAATACTTTACAAAGCGCACATCATCTCCAAAAGCTTTAACTCTTCCCACAGACCGAAGCTGGAGCTGAGAGTTAGTGCTCGTGAGCAACTCAGCGGGCTGCCGATCTGAGGGCAGTGCCGTTTCATCCTTGCTTTTCATCCCCTTCAAAGTGCCTGGTGTGTGTCATGTGGACACTCACTGAGGTTCACAGTATGAACTAAAGACTTATTTCAAACTTTTGGATTACATCCTTAGTGTTCTCCTTGCCTTTCTGCTGTTTCCAGGATTGATCTTCAAAATCCCCTATTCTCTGGTCTCTCACTTACTAATGTTTCCTCTGGAAACAAGGAGCAATAAACTACTTAGTGTCTTGCAACTGAGGAAACATGAAGATAAGCAAGATCTAAACGGAACATCTGACTGAGCTTTAGCATTAACACACAATTAAGAAAGTCCCTTTACCTGTCTTCAGGACTTGGCTACAGAATAATATGTACTGACAACCTGGATAATGTGCATACCTTTCCTTCTATGCAGCTGTAACATTCTTAAGCATTTATTATAAGGGAATCACCAGAGAGGTGACCACACAAAGATGTTCACTGCAGCGTTATTTATGAGACAAAAAAAATTGGAAACAAGTGCAAGTCCATCAGTGGAAGGCTAATTAAACTAATTAAACGGATTGAGCCACTACATCCACTCTTGATCTGACTTACTTTAAATCTTGAGTTCAATCACGTCCATACCTAGACTTTTAAATATTGTCTGCACATTTTTTACCCTATTCTCTCTCTAGCCTTACTTACTTTTGGCTTTTCTTATTGCTTAGTTTTCCTTTCTAGAAATATTTGATAGTAAAGGAATATGAGGCAACTTCTATGAGTTTTATTTATATCAAAGACAAAAATATTGTCACTAGAACCATATATTTTTTTAAGTGGGAAGGAAAGCCCCAGGTAAAATCAGCACAACGATTCTTTCACATGAGGTTGCCGATGAGCTCAAGACCCTCTGATTTCAGAAGGTAATTAGTTCCAAAGAGACTTGTAGCTCTGAGCCACATTGTCCACATGGATCTTTTAAAAATCTTGTGTATCACCGAACAGCACAACCCCTCTCAGACTCTGTCACCGGCCTGTTTCAGGTGTACTTTAGAAAGAATATCATTTGAATACTAACAAGAGGAAACTACAAGCATAAGGTGAACTGTGGTTATTCTTCACTCCTATCTTTACGTAATGACAGATTACCTCATTCTTCTAATGCATCGTTAAAGAAAAAAAAAATCACATGTGAATAGAATATATTGAAAAGTTTCCACTGGTACACAACTCAATTTTTTAAAATAAAATCAGATTTTCTGCAAGTAGAAACTAGATTTTGACATGGAAAACGTACATCTTATTGTTATAAGGATGTCCAAAGCATTTTTGTCTGTGATGTCCACATTTGACAGCACCAGCAACAACAAAGCATGTTATAGCCAGCAGACATTTTCTGTAACGGCTAGATGCTTGACAATTCAGGTTCCTTACAGGCCACGTGGACTCTGTTGCAACATTCAACTATGCTGTTGGTGCACTAAAGCGACCTTGGGCAAGATGTAAACAAAGGAGCACGGCTGCATTCCTGCCAGACAGGTGCTGGGCGGGAACTGGTGTGTACTGGTTAACCCTTGGTTTAGAACCAGGGGGTCTGTCTGGTGGGGCAGCAGGGGAAGGGTGGTCTTCCCAAGAATCAGGCTTTCATGGCACCATCACTGGTTTGTCTAGGCTCTTCCTCAAGCATGTCAGCAAATTTCCCACCTAAGTTAAGTGCCTTTGCCCCTGTTGTTCCTTCTACCTCGAGAGCTCCATCCTCAGATATCTTGCAACTCACTCCCTCAACACATGGGGCCAGTGAGTGGCCTCCTTGACCAGGCCACCTAAAGGCACACCATGCTTCTGCTCCCTTCGTCCCTGTGTTCACCCACAGTCCTTCCATTACCTTCCATTATGCCATGTCTTTATGTGTTTGATTTTTGTCTGTGTCCCCCACTAGGATGTAAGTTCTTGGTGGCAATGTTTTTGCGTTCCTGCTGTCTCCCCAGCACCTAGAACGGTGTTTGGAACACGGTAAGCAAACACAGGGGACTCAGGCACATCATTTGATCAGCACATCAATTCCTTACTTGTAACATGATGGCATCAGATCACCCATGTTTCCTAACATGAAATTTAGGATGGCACCCAGATGGGCATCTTTCTATCCATAGTTAAGTTTATATTAATATGTAATATATCAGCAACAGTTAAACCTGGAATTTAACAAATACTATTGCTTAGGGACATATATTTTCCTTTTTGGAGTAGTGAAAAAATGAGTCCATCAAAAATATTTAATAAATTAAATTAAAAATGATTTGTAGATAAAAGAAAAGTTAGGATGGCATCACAAAAGTAACTGAAGTTAGGGAGACACAGGATTAATGTTTTTTAAATGTCCTCCAGACTCCTCATTTTTATTCTTTTTTTTTTTTTTTATCCTCACCCGAGGATATTTTTCCATTTTTTGTACAGATAGAGTGGGAGGGAGAGAGAGGAAGGGAGAGAGAGAGAGAAACATCGATGTGAAAGGGACACATCGAGTGGCTGCCACCCGCACGACCAACCAGGGCCGGGGACAAACTGCAACCGAAGTACGTGCCCTTAGCGGGAACCGAACCCGGGTCTCTCCGGACCGCAGGCCGACGCTCTAACCGCTGAGCCAAACTGGCCAGGGCATCGTTTTTATTCTAATGCATGAAAATAAATGTAATGTGTTCTCTGGTGTCCAGAGCTGCCACTGACCTGTACAGTAAAGTGATGCCGGAGAAGCATGGCGAAGGCAGCTGCTCCAGTGCACACTGGCACCCAATATGTTCTTTCTGAAACAATCGATCAGGTCATCGCCTGCTCAATAGCCATCCCCAGCAGGATCAGATCAGTTCAGTATTTAAAACCTCCAGGATCTGGCTCTGGAAATATCTATGTAAATCTTTCAATTTCCCTCCAACCCTTCAATCATATATGCTCCAGTAAGCTAAGTTCTCGATCGCCCCCCCGGCGCACCATTCTGTTTGCCAATTCTCAGCTTTCGGACATGCTGCCCACTCGCCTGAAATGCTAGATCCCTCCTTCCGTCCTTAGGAAAAGCCTCTCTGTTCTTCCAAACTCTGCACAAAACACTGTTTTCTTTGAGAGACGGGCTGGACACTGCCAGACGGAACAAATGACAACTATTGTTCCACTGCCATACCTTGCTCAAACCTCATCAGGGGAAAGCCATTCAATATTATAATGATAATTATTAGAGTCAAATAATTATAATTATTTCATTTCAAGTTTATAATCATCCACTGCCAATTCCCACTACAAATACCTAGTTCTCAGGTCTTTCATGGCATAACTAGAGTTTCGTAGCCTCATCTAGGACACTCCTTCTTCTATTTTCAACAAAGCTTCTAGGAATATCAGTTCCTCATTCCTTACAAATTATCTTTGGGGACTAATTCTTTATGGATTGAAGTTATTTGTTTAAAAATTTACTTTATAGACTCTAAACTTAAATTACAGACTCTTTAACATAAAGTTAAATTAGATTGTATTTTTATCATCAGACTGGGAAAAGATTCAATAAATTATGCTTTAAAATCACTAATAAAATTCTTCTTTTACCAATAGGTTGTGCTGTAAAAATTATACTTAAATACGTGCAGAATATTTATGTAGAAGTAATATGAGTATATATGTATATGTATATATATATGAATGTTAATCTCATAGAATTTTCATAAACAATTAAAAATATATTTCTACATTTCTTTAGAAAATTGTTTCCTCATTATAAATAAGTTCATCAATGCTTGGCAATAATACATTGTGTTTATAGAGTATTTTATAATTCACAGAATGCTGTCACATATAGTATTTTATGCCATGGGGGAAGGCAATACTCACAATAACTCCATAACTCGGGTATTATAAGAATCAATCATACAAACAAAAACCTGAGGCTTACAGAGGTTAAGCATCATGCCAAAGTTATACATCAGTCATTGGTTGAGCCTGATGGCCCTGAAGCCCTGTGCTTCTGCCAGGGAAAGGAACCTGCATGCTCATATTCTGTGACTGATTTTACAGATGCTGAATGATTTTTTTCTTCTCTGCGGTGGAATAAGTTCCTGTAAATCATTCTGCTCTTAATAGAAACACACACTCTTTATCAAACCTAAAAGACTGCTAAACAATTGAAATGAGGCTGTAGGCCTCTATTTCAATAGTGCAGCTTTATATTTATGGTCAAGGATTAGCTATCTGTTTGAACATAATAGCTCTTTCCACACACGATGACATACAATTCAGAAGCC